TGCTCACTTTGGCTAAACAGAAATGTGTCCCTTTGTAAAATCAAACACTGACAAATAAGAGAGCATGACATTGTATGATTTCTAGAGCTGATATAGGGCAATTTGTTCTTCAGAGTGATGTAAGCTTTCTTATGATTGCATCATCCATGACTTCTAGGAATAACATGATGCAATTCATATCATGTATGACGCAATACCAGCTTCAGATTGCGTCATGCATTGTTTTGCCTAAAAAGTAAGTACTGTCCAAACCCAGTCATAGATTTATTCATAGATCCAGTCAAAGATGTATCTTAGTCATTTCTGGTTTAAATTGAGATCCCTTCCCTTTATAATTCACTTATCCTCCGCCATTCGCAAGTCAAGGGTCGTATATACTGACCCAATAGCATATCTTGAAAACTAGAGCCAATCAACAATTTTAAGCATCATTTTTGTTCTTAGTGACCCAGAATTAGTAAAGTTTGACTACATTTATTTCAGAAGCATTTTGGCTGTAGAGCAGTGTTATTACAGATGTCAGAGTAATAGCATACACTGTACAAACTTACTATGAACACATTTGACTGAATTTTATTTTGTTAAAATTGGTAACAATAAATATTCATTATTAGATCTCTGCATTTATTTCTCTTGCAAGCAAAATGTTTGATTTTTTCTGTTTGATTTCTTTGAAGAAACTGACCATTAAATTAAGGTCAGTCATCCAGTAATTGGGCTACAAATCTGATTTTTTTAAAAATTTAGTTTGTGCAGACTGTATTACACCTTGAATTTTTTTTCTTTCAGAATTTGCTTATGGTGGTCATCCTTACCCTTTTTCTGGCATATTTGAAATTTCTCCGGGAAATGCTGCTGAACTAGGAGAAACATTTAAATTTAAGTAAGGAGGAAGGTATTTTGTTTTAGTCAAAAGTGTGAAGACTAAAACTTTGCCTTATTGCACTAATTCCTCAGCTTTTTGTCACAGTTGTAACCTGATGACCCAGGGCAGGTAGTATTTCTGTACGGGGCATTATGAAAGGAGATTGGGGAGAGTAGTGAGGCATTCACAACTTACAATCTTAAGCAAAGAATCTCCTACTCCTTCACTCCCATAGACTCCTGTTCAAGATTAAGACCTAGTCTACATTATACCTCCCCCCCTCCCCCTTTATCTAACCTACACAACTTCAGCTATGCAAATAGTTGAAGTATTTGTCTTCCATGCCATAAGATCAGTGGGGGGGGAAGGCTGTTTTCCTGTCAGCTGTGGCTACTCTTCTCATCCTGGTGGAGAATCAGAGTCAAAGGGAGAGCACTCTTAGATCAATTTATCATATCTAAGCAGACACAGTAAATCGACTGTGGGTAGAAACATTGTGTAGTGAAGATAAGCCCTAAGTGTTTCATCCTCTTAAAATATACATTATATAAACTTGTTAAATATTGTGCTTTTATAGTAAAAATGTGTTTCAAAATCCTTTTCTTTTTGAGTAAGTTGTTGCTAACTGGTAGTGGATTCTTCATCACTTATTTTTGAATCAAGATGGAATGCTCTTATAAAAAATATGCTCTAGGGATTATTTTGGGGAAATTCTGTGTCTTGTGTTATGCAAGAGGCCAGTCTAGATGATCAATGGTCCTTTCTGGCCTTGAAATTTGAAACATCGAGAGGCTTCCCGGCTTTTGTCTGTATTGCCACTGTACTGTTAGGCTTTGTCTACACTGTCAGCTTTGCTGGTAGTGCCTATGCAAATGAAGTGCAGATTAGCATTTTGCCACGCTTTATTTGCATAATTTATCTAAGCCATTTTTGCGCAGGGGTTTTTGTGCAAAAAACCCTGTCAACACTGTTTGTTTTTTTCCAAAACCCCCTGCGCAAAACCGGCTTGAATAAATTATGCAAATGAAGCATGGCAAAATGCTAATCTGTGCTTCAGTTGCATAAGCACTGCCCTCAAAGCCTGCAGTGTAGATGTAGCCTTCGAGTTCCCTGGCATTGCCTCCAGTAGCTAGTTCTGTGCTGCTGCTCACTCATCAGCTAGCTGCTTCTTAAAGATCTGGGAAGTAGAAATTGTATCCAATTCAAAAAAGAACAGTCTCTCAAACTTTAATCTTTAGTTAAATGAGAAGACAAGTGGAAAACGGGGAGGTCTTCTGTATGGAGAACATTAAGGGCACATCTACACAGCAGGGCAGAAGTTGAACTGAGATGTGCAACTTCAGCTATGTCAATTGTGTAGCTGAAGTCTAAATAGCTTAATTCGGCTTTTGGCTCTGTCTATACAGCAGGAAGTTGAAGGAGAAACACTCTTACTTCGACTTCCCTTACTCCTTGTGAAATGAGGGTTATGAGAGTCAGAGCAAGAAGTCCTCCAGCTCAATGTTATTTCGAAATAATGCTGTTGTATAGACGTACCCTAAGAGGGGCCTGAGAGAGAGAAAACAAAGGGGGATAGGAGGAACCCCCCCACACACAACTGTGGGTGATGTGGGATGTGAGTGCACCGAAGAGAAGCAGGAGAACGTTTGTCCTGTGTCCTAAGTTTGGAAGTATTGTCACCCAATTCTCTCCTCTTTTTTGTAGAGAAGCTGTGGTTCTAGGCAGTACTGACTTCATGGAAGATGACATAGAAAAAATTGTAGAAGAACTTGGAAAAGAATTTAAAGGAAATGCCTATCACTTAATGCACAAAAACTGTAATCATTTTTCTTCAGCTTTATCAGAGGTAAATAAACATGGGCCATTTACCTTTCTGCAAAATTCCTTTCTCGTGGTTGGACAGCATCAGTATTTGTCATGTAAATTGTGTATAGTCGGAATGTGAATGTGTAGAGCCTGGGCTCATTGGGGAGGGGGAGAGCCCTTCCCTTCTCTAACAGGCAGCAGCACAGTGGGGGAGGCAATTCCATAGGAGTCACCCTCCTCCACCACTCCGTGGCCCCTGTGTAAACCTATAACTGCTGAAATTTTTGGCAGTTACATGTTCACATAAATAGATTCATTTTAATATTCCTAGTGTGTACCTTTGCCATTTCATTTTTTTCTAACATCTTAGGTAAATATCTCCCATGTTTCAGGCACAATGATTATACCTATGTCCAAAATCCAAGACTTTAGCGCCAGTAGAGCTTAGTTAATTAGCATTATTTGAGTGCTGCCAGTGAATTTCTTATTATGAAAATAAGACTCAGTGACTACCCAAAGAGACTACATTTCCAAGTCAGCCGTATAGTATAATGGGTGTTGGTATAAGTTTGAAATAGCTTAGGAGTCTTGAAGTCAACGTATAGTATAATGGGTGTTGAAATAGCTTAGGAGTCTTGAAGTCATTACTGAAAATAGGATGAATTATTTTAAATTAGAGGTGGGGAACCTTCTAATTTTTTTCTATCAGGAGAGCCATCAATTTACAGAAAGTCAGGAGCCACACATACATGCATAGCAACATGGAGACTCAGATTCCCCTAGGCTGCAGGGTGGGGCCAGAATGAGGGGCTCAGGATGTTTGAGAGTGGCTCAGGGTTGGGTGTGGGAAGACTCCAGCTGAGGGCGTGGGATCTGCTGGGGGGCTTGGATGAGGGATTCATGGTAGAGAAATGGTCAAGAGGTATGGGAGCAGGCTCGAGGCTGGACCAGGTGTTGGGGTGCAGACTTTGGCTTTGAATATAAGCTCTGGTGTGGAGACAGGGTTGGGATACAGGAGGAGGTTAAGAGTGTTGGCTCCAGCCAAGGAGTTTGGATGTGGGAGAAGGCTCAGGGTTGGGTTGCAGGCTTTGAGAAGGCGTTAGGATGAGGGCAAACATTCTGACCTGGAACAAAGGAAATTGGGATGCAGGAAGAGGTTTGGGGTGTGGGCTCTTGCTGGGTAGTGCTTACCTCAGGCAGCTCCCAGTTAGCACAACAGGACTAAAGCACTGTCTCTGCCTTACTTGGCTCTGCATTGCTTCTGAAAGCAGCAGATGGTCTTGGTTATGGCATTTCGCTCTGTGTAATGCATACTGCCCACACCTGCAAGTGCTATCCTGGTAGTTCTTGGTGGGTGCAGCTCCCAGCCAGTGGGAACTGCAGAGCCAGCACTGGGGATGGGGACAGCATTCAGAGTTTCCCTGATCGCGGCTTCAGGGCTGCAGAGACATGCTGATGAGCCCAGTCCTGTGAGGGGGACACCAAAGCTTGGGGTTTCCAACCCATGGCACAGACTTGCCATGGGGGAATGAAATGAAGCAGAGCAGGTTCTCCACCCATGCTTCAAGTAAATTGCAGCAACAAATCCTCAAATATGCAACTGTTAGGTTTGAAAATACATTGAGTTTATCAGAAATGTGGTGGTGTATGTTTAACATTATAAATGAAATAACAAAATATTTGAAGTTCCACAAAATCCACCTTGTATTTAATGTTGTATCCTTAGCCACTTATAGGTCAAACTCCATTTTTATCCTCTAAAGACCAGATCCTCCCCTTATGCTAAACAAGTGTTGTGTCCGTATAAATCCACTTACTTCAATGGAGATACTACTGACTTTCACTGGACAGAGACAAAGGATCAGCACTAACACTGTATATTAGAATCTTACCTCAAAATTACTTGTTTCCATCACTTATTAGAATGTAGTACAGAAAACTGAGTCTTGAATTTCAATACTTAATTGTTTACTGCTGATCAAAGCTACTCCCAAAAGGAATAATTTCCTCTCTAAGCCATCCTGGAACTTACTTTTTTTTTTTTTTAAAGGAAACTTAATAAAATCTACAGCAGTGGTGGGCAATCTGTGGGCCATCAGCATTCTGTGTGGCCTGCAAGACATTTTGTTTACCATTACCCAAGTGCAGGGTTGCCAGATTTTTCTGGTTTCTGTCTGTGTAATTTTTTTACCTACTGATGTTTCTAAAGTGACACGCACTTACACCAACAGCACATGAAGCGAGGTGAGTGCTGATTGTATGCAACATGGATTGTGAGAGCGATATGCTCCCTCTGCATCCAATCAAAGTGCTGCTACAGTTCAATCAGCACGCCGTGCAAATTCTAGGTGCGCAAGCAAAGGTAGCAAAACGACCCTATCCTAAGAGACTGTCTTGTTTACGGCATTTTTGCAGCCCACTGAGATGGAAGGCTGCTCTTGCAGCCCACTCACTAGCTAGGTTGCCCATCACTGATCTACGTAAAGGTGTTATTTACAAAATGAATCTGGGAAGCCAAATGTCAGTTTTGGGTGTACAAATAATCTTAACTGTCTGCTTATGCACGCAAAGGGTGAAATCCTGGTCTCGGTGAAGTCAGTAGTTGTTTTGACGGACTTCAATTGGACAAAGGTTTAATCCATAGTCTTCAATTACATAATCACATAACTTGTGCTGCACCTCTGTCCCATACAGTGCACAGGTTAGACAATGTATAGTGCATAAGACTGTATGTAATGAAAAGCAGGACTCAAGACTAGGGATGTGAAAGTGTAACCAGGCTCACTGGTGAACGTGCATGGTTACGCGCAGTCCCCTTACCCCCTGCGCTGCCGCCTCTGTACTAGGTAGGAGCTGGTACATGCAGGGAGCTGGCTTAAATTTTCAGCTGTTACACGATTACATAATTAAACACATTTTAACATCCCTAATTAAGAATTATGCTGTCTTTATAATAGCACAAATCAAGGTAGAATTCCTGATAGCAATTAACTTATTACAATTTTACACTGGAGTAGGTAAAAACCAGAATTCAACAATGTGCTGTGAATGAAACAGTACTCCTCACATTATATAACAAGGATAAAATTGAATGTAGTTAATTTTATATTAAAAATGCTTATTTTTACTGAAATGTAAGGAAAATAAGCATTGGATATATGCCTCATTTACTGGGCAGCATTTAGCTTATTGACTGACTGACAGAAAATGATCTTCTCTGTATGATCATATCACTGTAAGCTATCAAATGAATATAAAAATCTGGGCAGAGTTAAGGTTAAGTGTATAAATGTAGCTTTGACTTTTTTGAAAGCTTTCTTTTGTGGCTTTGATTTCTTTTCTAGTTTCATAGAAAACTCTCCAGGCATAGTGAACTTTTCTTTATCTTCTGTGCACAGTGCTCTACAGATATAAAACACTAAACTCTGACATCATTCCAGTACTTTTAGTGTGAGATTTCTGAAGAGGATAAGTAGACAATGTAGACAGATTCAGTTCTTAAATTAGAAGCATTACTCTGTTTCACAACATCTACATGAATGTTTTATTGATCTGTGTACTAAGACCACTTTCTTGCTTTTGTATGTAATGAACACAGTGCTCTACAGATATAAAACACTAAACTCTGACATCATTCCAGTACTTTTAGTGTGAGATTTCTGAAGAGGATAAGTAGACAATGTAGACAGATTCAGTTCTTAAATTAGAAGCATTACTCTGTTTCACAACATCTACATGAATGTTTTATTGATCTGTGTACTAAGACCACTTTCTTGCTTTTGTATGTAATGAATTCACTGATGTTTTTTGATTAAGCTTTTAGGATTATGTAGTTAGGACTTTAAGGATTTCGTTGTTCAGTACGACAGTCTGTCTCTTGTAGTCTGTTAGTGATACAGGTATAAGGCAAACGCTAATTCCCTTTTTTCTTTTTAGATTTTGTGTGGAAAAGAGATTCCACGTTGGGTGAATCGACTCGCCTATTTCAGCTCTTGTATACCATTTCTCCAAAGCTGCCTGCCGAAGGAATGGCTTACTCCTGCAGCCCTTCAGTCTAGTGTCAGCCAGGAACTACAGGATGAGCTCGAGGAAGCAGAGGATGCTGCAGCAGCTTCCCTGTCAAACTCTGCATCTGGGTCTAGGACTGGGCGCCACACCAAACTATAAATCTCTTTCCAAAGTAACACACAGTTCTATACACGTCAGTTTGATATCTCCAGCAATTGACTGTTACTCAACATTAGAGAGCTGACTGTTGAACATTCCTTTTATACGAAAAATGGCGCTCTCCAGCCCCCCAAGACCCAGTTATTTCAGCTCAGGATTATATATGTAATGGGAAAGAATCATTGGGAGAAAGGGGAAGACACTTGTGTAAAGCCACTCTTCATTTTCACCTGTTCTATGAACTTGGATTTACATAACTTCAGTTCTGTTTTATACAAGATCTGTTATTTGTTTACAGTATTGTGTACTGCTGTTTACAAGTCCTGTATGGACTCCTGCCACCTTGAAAGAAGAGAAACTCTGGGCTCTATTCATTCCTGGTGTAACTCAAAAGGCAGTGGAGTCACACCAAGCAATAAATTTTGCCCTGTATATTCATAAATTAGAGGTGTAAACTTTCTCAACTTCTGACAGTTGCCAGAGATAGATGTATGCAGAAATGGCTGAGTACTGTATATGTGAACAGTGTACTGTACATTTAGAGTGGTTGATCTAAAAGGAGTAGATGCCAGGATGTGAGGAGATTGGGTTAGTGTGTAACAAACAGTTCCTGGAAATATAACTTCCACATTGACTAAATTGTGGAGTTTTGCACATAGGAAGGGAGGGTTGATGTGTAATTGCAGTTCATGCTGTGTTTACACATCTCCATAGCATCATATTTCAATCAATCCATTTCTTTTTTTAAAAGGTGCCGCATTTTCATCCTCATTTTAAATGTTGAGTAGAGATGTAAAATCATTTTGAGTATCAGTTCAAAACTGTCACATCAGGTCATCTATCTGGTTTGGTTAATTTAAAATGTGGAATAATTGGATTAAGAATTAGTACTTTGAATTGTTTTGTATGCTTCATGTAACATAATACATGACACATGGGTAGGGAATGGCCATGCTTTCTTTACTCTTGATTGTGCTTTTAGTTCTGTAACCATTCTGAACTAATGAAAGCAGAATACTATATATTATTCCATGCTAGATTCTCCTACATACATATGCAGATAATAGGGAAAAGTTGATTTTATTATCTTTCTGTGGCATTAACTTTTCTTGTCATATGCAAAGAAGACAAACTTGAAGATTACATACACCTTTATAGTCACGCAGCAGAACCTCACTTAACTTGAGATGTAATAGCACATGAAGATAACGGATATAAAATTTACTTTAGAAAATGACATTCTTGCTGGTAGACAGATCATGGATTGTAATTCAGTTTTAATTATAATTAATGATCAGAAGATGTTATGGAATGCCTTATTCTTTATTGTTCACTAACTGCATTTAGAAAGTTAATTTGAAACTTGGTTCCCCCATTATTACCATAAATCAATGAGGTTCTACACACACACACATATATAGTAGCAAAAGATGGGAACAAGGCTATTTCTATTAGATTGCTGCCTTACGGAACTTTCAGTGAACTACCCAAAAAAATTCCAAACATGAACAACATTTATATACTGGTCAGTTCACACATCTGCATTACTAAATTTCTTAAGAAGGTGTTTGGGTTTTTTAATTTCCAGGATGTCACTAGATTAGATAAATGCAACAGTTACATTAGAGTAAGGATTTGTTTTAATAGACTAAATGAAAATGCTGACTCTGTTTTTGTCAATAGTTGAATCCGCAGGTAGCGGGATAAAATCATGCTCTAAATTGCAACTATAAACCTTAAGCAAGTAGTGCCACTTAACCTTTCAAAAGTGCAGAATAGACTACATCATTCTATTTATAACTTCCAGAAGGGTCCAGTTAAATTCCTGTTTGACAGTGGAATTGCTGCCACTAGCTTCAGTAGGAGTTAGATTGGGCCCCATGGGGGAAAAAAACAATTTGCAAACTTTATATTGGATTCTTTTTGGGGATAATTGTATATTAATACCATCAAAAGAAAAGCCCGATAGTAGCTTGTAAAAATGTTTGTAGACATTGGGTTTTTTCAGAACTGAACAGTATAAAAATCATATAAGGCTATTTCTAGAGAAAACAAAATATCATCTTACTGTAAAAGCTGCTTTGTTGTATTTTACTAAATATCTTTAAGTAACAAGTGGTTATTTGAGGCAGCTGACAAATCTACTGACAGCAGTTTCCTTTGGTGACTAACAAGAGTGATTATTTTAAACTCCAGAAGACATACAACTTGACTTTCCATGTTGATGTATTTTCATGTAGAATTCTGAATTGAGGTCCGTCTGCTTTTTCTCTAGTGAAAGTTAAGGTCTCAAGTCATTTAAGGATAATTGAAGTAAATAAAGCACTACATACAGCTAGCACAGTAGTAAATAGATGGCGGTTTCTGTCTCCGCTCTAGAGCGGAGGTGATAATGTGGCTATCTCTTGGCAAGGCAGGTTCTTTTCAGCTCAGGGTAGAGGCCAATAATCTAAGGGTCATTTTTCCTAGGTTTTGAAAGAGACATAACTGGTTTTCATTGCTACCTAATTTTTATGTACCAACGTCAGATTTTTAGGCTTCTAATACACCCAGAGCACTGCCACAAATCTCTACACTTTTGTAAAGTGACAACTGCAGCATGTACAATGCAAGAAGCAAAATACAAATACACAGCACAGTTTTTATTGAAGTAAAACTAAGAATATTTTTTATAAAGCAGACAGGAAAGTTTTGTTATAAAAATGTGTTTGGTATTAGTAGTTGTACAGATGAAGATACTGTCATGTTCTACTTTATTTCAAGCCATCCATTCACTTGTTAATACTGTAGAAAAATAATTGATATGGGAACCCTGAAGTCTATTCCATATTGCATCTTAAAGTGATGGTTACTGTATCTCTGATAGTGTGCTCTAAACTCAGTGTCCACCTGATGCCTAAAGAAATCACCCTGCCAACAGTTGCTCTCATTTGTTAGCAATAGTGCAAGTTACCTTTCACCAGCATTACTGCCAAGCAGGGAATTACACATTTAGACTACTAATAATCACACTGTGTAGTAGGAATAAAACACTCCAAAAGGCTGTGTATGCTGGAAACCTGTGGAATCTTTCCATCATAAAACGGGTAGAAAAATGTATCGCGTCAGGGTTCTGATCTGTTTGCTTTCTGGGTTTTGTTGAATGTAAGATAGTATTTTTTGTGATTAAAGATGCTAATATCTGTAAGATAGTATTTTTTGTGATTAAAGATGCAGCATGTTTCAAAAATCACTTTAAGATGCCATTTTTGTTCAGTGAGCCAAAAATATCCAATGTACTGTCAGTGCACAATGATTTTGATAAAAATGCAGTTGGTTTCCTTTTAAAATTTGCAGTGCAATTCTAATCATAGGAAATGTTTTTCATGTAACAACTATTGGAAGGTGGCTACAAGTTGTTGAAGCTTCACAGATTTAATTCATAGTATTTGTATACAATATTCAGATATTTGACATGTCAAGAAGTTGTCTTATCATGTTAAACTTAATCTTCAGTTTATTAAAACATACTTTTATAAAAATTGCTGTATCGTTTTCTTACCACTTTTCCAAATATTTTGGTTGCAATTTTGTCAATACTGCAGTATTAGCTCATCACTTTCTGACCATATGTAGAAGGATATTTTGCTCAATAAGTATAAAACATAGTCTCTATAGGGCTGTAAATTAATTGCAGTTAACTCATGCGATTAACTGATTAAAACAGTTGTAATTTCATTGTTCAACCTTGATTGAAACTTATTCAAAATTTTAGATGTTAAACATTTCTATTACAACACAATACTGAGTGTACAGTGCTCACTTAATATTTTTGAAAATATTTGCACTGTAAAAATGAGGGGGAAAGTTTCCGATCAATTCCTGAATGTAATGCAAACTCTCAATAGTAAAAGTGCAACTGAGGCTAGGTGGTCTACATTGCAAAGAAAAGTCGGAAACAGATACGCAAGTTGCATATCTTCTTCTGCTTTTCTTTTGAAAGAGGCCAAATTTTGGAAAAGCCTATCTACATGGCACCAAATTTTGGAAAAACCTCCTTTCAGCATCTCTCTTCTTCCTCATAGAATGAGGATTACAAGGATGGCAAAAACATGTCTGCTTTTTCAGAACAATTTCCGAAAAAGCAGATGAGTTCCTTGGACACAGCATAGTTTTTCCTGTGATTCCTCTGGTATCCTGGAAAAGCTCTGCATTCAAACAAAACAATCTGAAACTTGAGAGAGTGTAAGTCCAATCAGTCCTAGTTCTTAGTTAGTCACAAAGACAAACATTTAGTTACATTTACAGGAGCAAATGCTGTCTGCTTCTTGTATAATGTGTCCCCTGAAAGGGAAAACAGGTCTTTGCATAGCACTTTTGTAGCCAGCGTTGCAAGGTATTTACATGCCAGATATGTTTAAACGTTCGTATGTCCCTTCATGCTTTGGCCACCAGTTCAGAAGACCTGCTTCCATACTGATGATTAACTAAATTTGTACTGAACTTTTCAAAGAGGAGGCTGCACCATTAGGAGCAATATCACCTGAGGACCTCAGAGACATGTAGGAAACCTGGAGCATCTCTGGTGGTGATAGGTACATCCAGGGGTCCTAACCCTGAACCCTGCTGCCTAGGGCTGAAGTCCTTGTGCTTTGACCCTGTGTAGTGAGGCTTGAGTTTTGGTTTTGACCCCAGGCTCCAGCAAATCTAACAGTCCTGGTGATCCCATTAAAATGGGGCTGTCATGACCCACTTTGAGGTCCCAATCCACAGTTTGAAAAGTGCTGCTTCCAGCCGAGACGCGTTGTGTTCAGTACAAGGATGATTAAGGGCCTGTAGTATCAAATTCAGCCAGCAAGGCTGGGGGCAGTCAGGATAGCCATTATCAATTGTCAGACTAGATTATTATGATGGTCCCTTTTGACCTTATTGTCTGTGTCTTTGCCAAAAATATAGTATCCACCTCATTGTAGTTAAGCCCTGTCAACTCTGATGAAGAGGGATCAGCAAAGTGGTGGGCGAGGTGTATAAACTGTCTGAATCTTGTTTGTACTAGGATTTTGCAGTGATAGGTAATATGTATTATTTCTCTCATTAAAGAGGGGGCAGGGAAGAGAGCGCCTCAATGTCAAAAGTCAAAGGAGAAGCACTGGCACAAAGATGGCTGACACATTGCCTGCATGGCTGAAGTGGATAAGAGCTATTAAATATAGCTGCAGCACTGCCCCTACATGTTCCTTCCTAACAGCAATATTTGTGGTTGTGATACCAGCAACCAGTCACCCAGACTTACCCAACTTTTAGAATTCAGTAATCAGAGCCTACCAGTGGTAAAAGAAAGCTTCTATTTATTTTTCTTATACGAAGTTCCCTACCAGATCAGTCCCCATATAAAAGACGGGGGTAAGAGAAGCCCACTCACCTGCCTTTGAACTTTTAGAGCAGTGCTGTTTTTCCGTTCACTCATCGGCGTTGTTTGACCTTATTGATTGCCAAAGCCTGGCCACTGCAAAGAGATGACTGTCTAACACTACAAGTGTCCCCCTCTAATTTCCAAGGAATGCCTGCATAGTAAACTTTGTACATCAACTTCAGTCCCCCATCCACAGAAAATGTAATTTGTGTAAAATGCCTTCAGTATCGGAAAATTATTTAGCCAGATGTACTGGGACTATAACTGCCAATGAAGTTTGTGGCAAGTCAAATATGTGACTTGAACAGCAGATGGTCAACAAGTCTGCAAAGTCTTTAGGATTGTTCTGAGTATTTTTCTATGAAGCAGGCATGCCAGTTTTAGCCTTTGTGCTGTCACCATTGGAATTAAAAATATACCTGGTGCTTTTGGTCACTCCGTTCAGTTTCTACAATAAAATATGCCCCAAACCTTGGCTGAAATGCAGTCTAAACACTTCTTTTCAGATACATTGTTACCTCTTGTTTCATGTTCATGTATTTCATGTTTTCAGCAGATGTGTTTTTATAGAAATACTGTGTCAGTGGCTATTTTCAGAGCACTTTTGGAGTCTGGATGGATGTGAAAAGTATCAGAAATCTTCCAAGAAAAACTGATTTTTGTGACACATCTAGCTCATTTTCTTGGCCCAATCAGCTACAGCTAAATGCAGCTGATCTTAAGATAAGCAAATTAATTCTAACATTTTACCAGAACCAAACTACTTGAAGTTCATCATGTAGTCTGGATGCACAATAAATGTTCCACTTGGTTCACACCAGACTCACAACTATCATGTAGTTTGGTTGCACAATAAGGCTATGTCTACACTGGTGGGTTCTTGCACAAGAAAATGTCCCCACTGCCATGTGCTTTTGTGCAAGAACATCCATGGCAGTGTGGATGCTCTCTTGCACAAGAAAGCTCTGATGGCCGTTTTAGCCATAGGGCTTTTTTGCGCAAGGAACCCCTGCCACGTGTCCACATTGCCTCTTGCGCAAGAGGGCTTTCACTTAGAAAAGAGCGTAGCTCTTGTGCAAGAAACCCTGGCTTCTGAGGCCGTACTGTAAGTCTTCTTGCGCAAGAGCAGGCGGGCAGTGTGGACGCTCTGCAGGTCCTTGCACAAGAACCCGCCAGCGTAGACATAGCCATAGGCTGTGTCTACACTGGCCACTTATTCCGGAAAATCAACCGCTTTTCTGGAATAACTTGCCAGCTGTCTACACTGGCCCCTTGAATTTCCGGAAAAGTACTGACGATCTACTGTAAAATCATCAGTGCTTTTCCGGAAAAACTATGCTGCTCCCGTTCAGGCAAAAGTCCTTTTCCGGAAAACTGTTCCGGAAAAGGGCCAGTGTAGACAGCACAGATTTCTTTTCCGCAAAAAAGCCCCAATCACAAAAATGATGATCGGGGCTTTTTTCCGGAAAAGCATCCTGCCAATGTAGACGCGCTTTTCCCGGAAATACTTATAACAGAAAACTCTTCCGTTTTAAGCATTTCTGGAAAATCATGCCAGTGTAGACGTAGCCTAAGAGTATATCTACACAGAAGCATTATTTCGGAATAACTAGTGTTATTCCGAAATAACATAGTTTGCATCTACATACAAGCAGTTATTTCAACATAATGTCGAAATAATGTGCAGCCGGAGGAATTTTTACTCCGACACCTGTAGTAAATTTTGCGGGGATTAAGGGAAGTCGGAGGAAAAGTGCTCTTTCTTGGACTTACTGGTGTGTAGACAGGGCCAAAAGCTGAAATAAGCTATTTTGACTTAAGCTATGCAATTGGTGTAGCTTAAGTTGCATAGCTTATTGCGGATTTAGCCCTGCTGTGTAGACATACCCTAAGGGTACCAATTGGTTCACACCAGATTTACAACTATTGCCTGTTATATACTGGAATGGAAATTCACTGGTATTAACTAAAATACTGACGGGGAATTTAACTGCACTGCTCAGTATAGACAAAGACCAACAAACTTGCAAAAAATAGTTCCTCACGTGGAATTGCACGCACTCTTATTTAGGTAAGATTTTACCCTTGAAGGCTTAACACTTGGAATGCAAGCAATAAAAGCTTGCTTGACCACAAGCCTCAAAATGTATTCTTTCTAAAACAAGTAAAATAATGACCTTATGATATCAACGTTTAAAAAGTAACTATGTTGGTACTAAAATGGTTTACACTTTCTTTTACTAAGAAATAAATACCTTCATTCATGCAGCAGGAAAAATAGAGAAAATATATCTAGGAATATACTGAGTATCAGATAATGCTCATTTCCAGTTCTACTCCCTGTCACAGCATATGCCTAATAAATCCATAGCAATCAGTTCCTTAGCTTCATCTTTTTCTCCCTCGTATTGTTTTCTCCAACTGCTCAGCCTTCTAAACAATCCCAGAAAAGAGGCATTTTTTTCACTGTTTCTCTTTTCCTTGACCTGTTCACTTGCCATTTTGTATTTCACATTCTTCCACCATCTGGTCGGCTGGGTTTTCTTTCTGAAAAGTTTCTTGAAATACCAGCAACTGTCAAAACTAATGTCTCTCTTCATCTCCACCTTTGCTGTTCTTTGCATTTTAAGCCTGATATTTAGGGAAACCTTGAATCTGTCATTCAATTTCACTCAGTTTTCTCTCAACTGTAGTAGTTTTTCTACTAGTTCTTTCCTACTTAGAGTAAGACCACTATTAATATAGTCTACTTTCCTTCAAGGGGATCTTGATCATCAAAGACCCACCTATTGTTTTTCAAGTTGCATCTGTGAGGAAAAATGTAGTAAGATTAGTTAACTTATGTCAATGTCATAAACTGTAACAATTTAACTGTAGCAAAGGACTATACCTGTACTTACTAACTTTGTCACCCTATTTTTTGTGTCTAAACTAGAGAAATTACACAGTCAATTACATATATTTGTCTATAAAGATCAAACAGCTTGGCCAACAGATGTTCTGTTTTGTTACTATGGAAGTGTGTGTTGATTACATCATTACCATGATGACTTCACAATAATAAATAAAACCTTAGACTCCTTTCAACCATATAATCAGTGACTTGAAAAAGGCCATCAGTGTTGTTATTCTAATAGTAACTTAATTCCTAGGATTATTATTGTGAAGATAATTTTTTGAAATTGTAAGCTAGTGACATTTGGTGTGCTGTAGAAAGAGAATGTAGACTCATCTACACATAGATAAATGTAAATGCCTGTGACCAGAAGAGCAGGCATTTTGGGACCTGAAAGGGACCCTCACAGTCTGATACAGACCCACTTACGCCAGTTTTCTTAAAACAAAGGAAGGGGACATCAGCTAAATACCCCCACTCAACCTGAGTAATATCTTACTCCACTAGTAGTTACATTGATTTCAATGGGGACAGCTATAATGTAAGGCAGTGGTTGTCAAACTATGGGTTACAACCCTGTATCAGGTCATTGAATGTCAGGCACCAGGTTTCACTGCTGCAGTGTCCCCCCTCCTACTCTGCAAAGCTCTCATCCTCAGCCCCACTCTGGATCCCACACTGGTCAAATGTTGGGTCATGGGCATCAAAAATTTTCTTCAACTGGGCCATGAGAAAAAAAAAATTGAAAACCACTGATGTAAGGTACTATCAGCATGCGTTAGCATATCACAATCTAGGCCAAAGAAATTAAAGACAATGTATTTGTCATGGTTCAAAAACAGAATTTTAAAGTATCACATCCTTTAAGTTGCTTAAAAAAGAGCATGTCTCACTGCTAGGGAGATTTACAAAATGAAATCAAAAGTCTAAAGCAGGCCATCAATCAGTGTCTCCCTTTCACTGCCAGTCTAATGATGAAGCTCTTTGGTCATATCAATTAGCTGATTTTAGTTCACATTTTTAATCCATTAAAAAAAACCACACATTTTGTGAAAATAGAAAATTATTGGCATAGATGGAGAGAAAATTTGAAAAAAAAAAATGAGGTTACTCACCTCTATCCAGAGGGTACATGGAGAGGGGGGGGGTAAACCTGCTACATATTAATTTCCTTTGGTGATTCCTAGTTCTTGTTTTATGTGAAAGATTAAGTAACATTTCCTTATTCCCACCCACCATTCAGAATTGTATAGACCTCTCTCAGATCCCCACTGAATTGTCTCTTTCCCAAGCTTATAAATCCTAGTCATTTTAATCTCTCTTCCGGTTTCATGCCATTAATCATTTTAGTAGCCTATGTCTGTACCTTTCCCAATTCCAATATATTTTTGGGGTGTAGCGTGACCAGGCTGAACACAGTATTCAATATGTGAGCATACCATGGATTTATATAGTGGCTTTATTATATGCTATGTCTTATCTATCCCTTTCCTAATAGGTCTTAATATCTCATTAGCTTTTTTTATTGCTGCTGCACATTGAATGGATATTTTCAGAGAACTATCCACAAGGACTCCAATATCTCTTTCTTGAGTGATAACTAATTTTAATAGCAACATTTTATATGTTTAGTTGCGATTGTGTTTTCCAATGTTCATTACTTTGCATTCATCATATAGCCCACTTTCTCCTTCAGTCTCACCCCTCACTAGCTCTGATAGCCCTCCCCCCCATGTAAATTCAAGCACCTCCCCTAATTGGCTCTGATAGCCCTCCCCCCCTCCATGTAAATTCAAGCACCTCCCCTAATTTCAATTTTCTGGGAAAAACAATGGGTGCTAGAATTTTGATTTGAATGCCAAGAATGGATCCAAGTCCTCTGAACTGTGGAGAAGTCCCAATCTAATTAGGCCTCTGAAATAGGCCAAAGCAAAATCTTTGCTCCTTCCAAACATATACAGGTCAGAACTTTGAGGAAGCTGGCATCTGTATCTTGCCTCAGATATTAGTTTATTTTCCTGGACTTTTCTTTCTTGTTCCCTAGAGCCACAAAGTCTCTTTCAGTGCTAGTTCATTCCAGACCTTATCCATTTCTAGATGATGACTTAAACACAGGATTAATTCCCTGCTTTTTCCTGTTGCAGTTTTACAATGGGGTACAATGGTGCATGAGGGGGAGGACCCAAGTAACCACTCAGTGAGCAGAAGGAAAAGAGTATAATTAACCTCTCACCCGAAACAAAGAAGAACGTTTTGTTCTCTTGGCTTCTCCTGTCTAGAGATCTATTCAGGAGCACAGATCAGAAAGAAATGGCTTAATTGAGATAAGGGAGGAAGAATGGGTCTTGTGATTAAGGTAGGATCCAAGGTCATGATCTTGTGCTACCACAGACTTGCTCAAATCACTTAATTTGTGTGCCTCAGTTTCCCATCTTCAAAATGGGGATAATATTGTTGTGAAAATGAATAGATGAATAATTGTGAGGCACTTTGATACTATAGTGCCTAAGGGTATATCTGCACAGTACTGTAAGCTAGGCTATATGAGTCTTGAGCCGTCAGATGCAGTGATTCTAAGACTCAGCTTGTGCATCCACACTGAATATTGACCCTTGGTTTAGAATGTATGGACCTAGGTCTCAGAACTGCACTCAGGCCTGTACCCTGTACTACAGAGACCTGACTCACCCCAGACTATCTCAGGTATCTCAGTACCTTTCCAGAGGAACTGCCCCAGCCATTTGTTCATAGTGTGCTCTGGGAAAAGGAAAATGTGACACTCCTTCCCACAGCACTTTAAAGGAAGTTGTCATAGCCTGCCCACAACACCCTACTGAGCTGCTGTCTTTTGAGCCTGCATGCTCCCAACAATCAGCGCCAGCCACATGGAGGAGTCACCACTGGAAAAACTGGTCCTGCGTGGGCTATCACTGCTGTTTCAGGAAATAGGCAGAACATTCATAAGACACTGGTGGACATTTCGGTGGTATTTTGTGACCCACTGGAGACAACTGTTAAAGGAGGAGGAGGATACAGGGATGGGCAGACTTGAACAGGCTGATGCTACTCATATGCTACTGATGGCCCCCATTTAAACTAGCGATTCTGAAGCAGGGCCATAAGCACAGACTGGTGGGATCTCATTGTCTTGCAGACTAGCAATGATCAGCATGGCTACAGAACTTCTGCATGAAGAAGACTACATTTCTGGAGCTCTGTGAGTCGCTTGCCCCAACCCTCCAGCATCACAACATACTCATAAAGCATGGTGATGCTGTTTTAGAAGTGGTTTGCTATAACCACCTGGAAGCTGGCTATTCCAGACTCTTACAGATCCACTGCTAACCAGTTTGGTAACTCAACTGTGAGTAACAAGGAAGCAGAGGTTTCTTAGGCAATTAGACATGTGGTTTCCCTCAAGGGAATGGGCATACTATTCCTGAAGCAACTGCAGTCTTTAAGATAATGGGGTTTCCAAACTGCACCAAAGCAACTCATACCCACAGCCACTCATATATCTATAATTTACCCTCCTCAAGCACATACATTGCTAAGAGTGATGATGGTGATGGCAATCACTTATTGCCGAGTGTGATTATCTTCCATGGGAGCTGTGGACCCTCGGGTGGCTGATAAGGCGAATCCTTGAACCACAAGTTCTATTAAAGTGAGGGCAGATGTTTCCAGGTATAGCAGGAGGCTGTTGACCATGACTAGAAGCCAACTTCCCCTTCCTCCTGCGCCTCCTCAACTTGTTGGCGGGCAAGTTCAAAATTCAGGGAGCCGTTGCGTAGGACTCCTCTGCATTTTGAGCGATCCTAGGCGAGTGTCTCCCAAGTGTCAACGTCAATGTTGCACTTCTTTAAGTTATCCTTTAACAAGCCCTTATAATGCTTCCGTTGTCCTTCCACATTACGGTATCTTTCTTTCAGCTAGGAAAACAAGACCTGTTTTGGGAGACAATCCTGAACAATGCGATCAGTCCAGCAAAGTTGCTGATGGATGATCTTTGTTTCAATCCTGGTGGTCTTTGCCTCTTTCAGAACATTGATGCACCTGTCTTCCCATTTGATCTTCAAGCTCTTATCAAGGCAGTATTGGTGATACCTCTCAAGTGATGTCTTTAGGTTGTCCAGGTTTCAGACCCATAGAATTGTGTTGGGAGAATGATGGCTTAACAGACAAGAAGTTTGGTGTCTGTTCAAATGATCTTCAAAAACTCTGTGCCGTAAGCGAGCAAAGGCTGCACTGGCACAGCTCAGACAATGTTGGATTCTACATCAATACCTGCCTTGGATGAAAGATAACTTCCAAGGTAGAGAAAATGATCAACATTCTCCAGTGCCTTTCTGTTGATTTTAACAGATGGGGTGTATGGTACCTCATTTGGGGAGGACTGATGAAGCACTTTGGTCTTCTTGATGTTGAGGCTGAAACCAAGACTTGTGTAAGCATCAGCAAACACATTCAGGATAGTTGGAAGATCTTTCTCAGGGTATGTCTACACTAGCTCGTTAATTCGAGCTAGGTAGGCAAATGAGGCGACCGGAGTTGCAAATGAAGCCCGGGATTTAAATATCCCGGGTTTTGTTTGCATGTTCCCGTCCGGTCGCCATTTTGAAATTTCACTAGCCCAAACTCACTGCCGCACAGCTACACGCGGCAGTGAAACATTAATTCGAACTAAGTCCTAGTTCTAATTAACATTTCACTGCCGCGTGTAGCCGCCCGGCAGTGAGTTTGGGCTAGTGAAATTTCAAAATGGCGACCGGACGGGAACATGCAAACAACAC